ATTTTGGAGACAAAATTTATACCAAAAGTGAAAATAACGGAAACGAGGACAACTAAATCAACAATGTGGCCAAACAATTAGAATTTTAAGAATATACGTTTCTTTGTTACAATAACGTGGTTTTCAACAATCGAGTTTTTAAGATTTTACAACATTGTATTTGCCACATTATATGAACTAGTCCAATTAATATTCATAATTTCAAGCTGACTCCAATAATCTTTGTAAGTTTAATATTTCCAAATCCTGATAACTTCCGAAAGTAAAACAGTAAAGCCAAGCAATAAGGAAGATTCTGAATTTATCCATTTGTTTAAATCTGAGGTAAAATAAAGTCGGCTGTTATGTTCAGTCTTTCAACATTATTATGAATGACAGTGAAAAAAAAAAAGAAATATTTTGATAAATCCACAAAACAAATTTAAACGTAAGTTACCTTTTGATTGAACAAAATCACGTATTCGTAAAATGCGTTAATTGAATAAAAATAAATGCACGATGTTATTGAAACTTAAAAATACTATTTTCAAATTTAATAATTACAAAGTAAAATATTAAACGTCACTTTTTTTTAGTTGATTTTAAGTTAGTTCATTCTTGTTCAGCTTCTTTTTCTCACATAAAACATATTGCCAGTGATCTTATTTTTGTTGTAAAATATTTTAACTCAAGTAAGAAAAGTTACAGCATAAAAGTGTTCACATAAAACATATTGCCAGTGATCTTATTTTTGTTTTAAAATATTTTAACTCACAGTAAGAAAAGTTACAGCATAAAACAGTGTTCGCTTGTAGAATTACAAACGGACTTTTCTCTACGTTAAAATACTTTTATTGCGAGCTTTCCGCCCTCATACCGGAGCCTTCATCGGGCAATAATGGGCATTTCTATCTCTTATTTTGAAATCATAGATTAGAGGGAAGGCAACTAGTCAAGAGGACCCACCGCCAACTCTTTGGCTACTATAATCGTATAGAAGGATTTCACTTTCAATCTAATTGAGAATTTTGTTTT